AGAGAGAGAGAGAGAGAAAACGAAAGAGTAAGAAAGAAAAAGAAGAAAGAAAGAAAGAAAGAAAGAAAGAAAGAAAGAATAGAATTCTTTTATTGGCCAAGTGTGATTGGACACACAAGGAATTTGCTTTGGTGCAAATGCTCTCAGTGTACATAAAAGAAAAGATACATTTGTCAAGAGTCAAGAATCATAAGGTACAACAGTTAATGATAGTCATAGGGTACAATAAGCAATCAAATCAATACTAGGAAACAGTCAATATAAATCTTAAGGATACAAGCGACAAAGTTGCAGTCATACAGTCACAAGTGGATAGGCAATACAGAGTGATGAGAAGATTAGTAGTAATAGTAATGCAGACTTTGTAAATAGTTGGACAGTGTTGAGGGAATTATCTGTTTAGCAGAGTGATGGCGTTCGGGGGAAAAACTTCCCTTGTGTCTAGTTGTTCTGTTGTGCAGGGCTCTATAGCGTCGTTTTGAGGGAAGGAGTTGAAACAGTTTATGTCTGGGATGTGAAGGGTCTGTAAATTTTGTTTGTTTGTTTATAAAATTTATTGGCCGACCATCTTACCATAGATAAGTTAAACAGGTACACAGTTCAAAACATAACAAAAGATATTAAAACCAAGGACACATGGGGAGCGTAGGGCCGGAGTGGGAGGGAGCAATGGGATCTGTTATTACTCAAACACCTCTAAAACACTTTGGCTTTTCCTACGGTAGTTGAAAGAAGACGCAGCACATAGAGATAGTCCTTGACTTACGACCACCACTGAAAATTGGACACTCATTTGTCTGGAAGGGTATAAGCAGGGACTGGATTCAGCCAGTTCGGGCCGGTTCGGGCGAACCAGATGTTAAATTTACATCTGGTTTGCCAAACAGGGACTTGAACCGACTGGCTGGCCCCGCCCACCCCACCTATCCCCGCCCCTCCCAGGAGCCTCCCTGAGACCCGTTTTGTATGCAGGTAACTGCAGGGTGCGCGTGGAGGCTCAGGAAGGGTGACAAATGACCCTCCCAGAAGTTCTGGAAGTCAGGAAACGGACCTTTTTATCAGTCCCACCCCTGGGTATAAGTCAGGAGTCCCCAACCTGCGGCCTATTTGTAACCAGGTCGGGCGAGAGGTGGAATGGTGTGCGTGTGAACGCAGCCCCACTCGCACGAACGGCGGGCGCCGGCGCACACAGCTGAACTTGTGAGACCAGCACCCCAAAAGCTTCTCCCTTATGTGAATGGAGCTCCATGTGCGTGTATCCCGCTCCGCCACTCACAGAGCCCAGTTCCCCTCTCAGCCACCACCCCCCCCCCGGCCAGTCCATTAAGCCACAAAGGTTGGGGACCACTGGGATCAGGTCAGGGGTGGGGTTCAAATTTTTAACAACCGGTTCTGTGGGCGTGGCTTGGTGGTCATGTGAGTGGGCGGACATGGCTTGGTGGTCATGTTATTGGCTGGGTGTGGCCAACTTAACATCACTCACATCGAGGCATGCATCTCTTCGCCTGGCCTCTCATGACTGTGGGGATGCTGCAACAGTCGTAAGTGTGAAAAATGGTCATAATTCACTTTTTTCAGTGCCATTGTAACTTTGAATGATCACTCCACACAAGCAAAGTAGCAGCAAAGGAGGGGAAAAAAAACTCCAGAGAAGTTCCTGAAACAGGAAGTCTAGTCCTGCCAAGAATGGAATAAGGGTTAACTGAGAGGCAGCTTCTGTAAGCAACACCAGAATGTTTCCTTCCTTCCTTCCTTACAGGATTAGCCTAGTAATTTCTTCTAACAACCGGTTCTCCAAACTGCTTAGAATGTTAACAACCGGTTCTAGCGAATAGGTGCGAACTGGTAGAATCCCACCCCTGGATCAGGTTTCCTGCTTGAGCAGGGGGTTGGACTAGAAGACCTCCAAGGTCCCTTCCCAACTCTTGTTATTCTCTTAGTTGCTAAACGAGACAGTTGTTAAGGGAGTTTGCCCTTCTTACAACCTTTCTTGTCACCGTTCTTAACTTGAATCACTGAAATTGTGAAGTTAGTCACACAGTTGTTTAATTGAGTCTGGCTTCCCCATTGACTTTGCTTGTCCGAAGGTCACAAAAGTGGATCGTGCCACCGTCATAAATATGAGCCACACGCCAAATGATCTCAGTTTTGATCCGGTGACCACGGGGGGGAGGCTGCAACGGCCGCGTAGTGTGGAAAAACATCCACAAGTCGCTTTTTGTAATCGTGCGGTTGTAACTTGGAGGGGCCATTAAAC